CGCCCATTATTACCTGGCTGTGATGCACCTCAACGGCCTGGTGGGGTCTGGGGCCCCTCCCCTGCCTGCACACCTGCATGCCTGCACCATTGTACACCAGCATGCCTGCATACCTGCACGCCTGCCAGGGGACCCTAAACCTTGCCCGGGCCCGCCAGCTGGGCGCCGGCCGGGCCGGGCATGGGGCGGCGCTTGCGGGCGAGGGGCGGGGTATGTGCCAGGGCATGGGGCGGGGCAGAGGGTGTTGCGTGCCGCACTGCGCTGTGCTTTGAGCCGGGATTTTCGCGGCACTCTGCTTAGGCAATTTGCTGGACTATATCGAGGGCGAGGGACCCGCACAGGGGCAGTGGAAAGAGTGGGAGCACAGTGTATTCACGTGTTTGTTTGCACCTTTTAGGTATTGGACTCAATCCCCTTTGTGTCAGCATTCTCCGGCGCGCTGGCGTCGCCGCCCCCGAGACCCCACAGCCCATCCCTGCCTGCATCAGTCACCGTGCCCTCCCCTACATCCCCCAGCCAACCTTGCTTCCATCCACCACACGTGCCGCCCTCCAGACCCAGGGTCTGGTGCGCGGCAGTGCCACAGCCAAAGGCTACCAGCACATGGCGGCGGCTGCACAAGGCGGACACATACAGGTCAGCATCATTTGCCTGACGTCGTCGTGCGTGATGCCTCGTGCTGCCGCCCATCCCGCACATCGCCGCCCTCCGAGCCCAGCCTTCTCACGGCTGCACCTCACGCACAGGCCGCAGCGCCCTCAACCGCCGCGTTCATCCTTCGTCAAGCCATCACGCTCCCCACAGCAAGCCCATCGAAGCCCGCGATCATCCACAACCCAACTGCCACCGCAGTGACCCGCCAACTCCACCCCACTCACCCGACACCCCCTATTCCCCCAGGCGATGTACAACCTGGCGATGATGCAGCTGGCCGGCCAGGGCACTACCCAAGACTGCGCCAAGTCCCTGCCACTCCTTAAGCAGGCGCGCCGCAAGCAACTGCCCGCACCCAAACACGCGCCCCTTCACAACCTGCCATCGGAATCTGCGCGCACATGCTGACATGCCGCCTCGCCGCCGCGGCCCCCTGCCGGCAGCGACGCGTCCCAGCCTGGCGCCCCGTGCGCCACGCTGGCGCCTGTGCGGAAGACTGTGCTTCATCACCGATGCCGATACTGCTGCCTTCGGCAAAGTCTTGCCCCCTTCCCCCGCTACTGCAATCTTCGCCCCCCTTCCTCCCAACTCAACCTCCACACCCCCATTTCCCCACCCCAACCCCCCAGATATCTGAGCGCGGCCACGTGGCTGCCGGCGCCCTGCAGGGCGGCCACGAGGCCTTCTTCAGGGGCAGCTACACGCAGGTGGGGGCAGCTACGCGTCAGCATGATAGGGGGCTGTTAGAATCTCATCCCTTGGAGCCTTTCTTGACCAGCTAGCCCACAGACGCAAGCCAGCACGGGTGTTCTCCACGTGCAGATGCACACGCGCGCGCGCGCACACACACACACACACACATGCACGGCCCCAGGCCCTCCTGCTCTACCTGGCCGCCAGCGAGATGGGCGTCGAGCTCGCCCAGTCCAACGCGGCCTGGATGCTCGAGCGCGGCTACGGCCACGCTGGCCCCAACGCCGCGGTCGTGGCCATGAGCCTGCACCGCCGCAGCGCGGAGCAGGGCAACGTGCAGAGCCTGCTCAACCTGGGGGATGGCTACTACTACGGCACTGGCGTGGCGCAGGACTGGGTGGGTGGTCGGGGGTTGAGCGCCGCGGGGCCTGGCTGCGGCCAGGGTTTCGGGGGCAGCGTTAAGGCTGCGGATTTTGGGTTGCCATCGGGGCTGGGGTTGGGGTTGCGTCGGCCTCAGCTCTCATGCATCAGGGCTGGGGCCAAGGGCGTTGCCCTCGGTCCACCCCTGCAGCCTGCATTAACATCGGCCTAAGCCCACACCGTCAAAGCCCCTCCACCCCCACCCTGAACCCCGAACCTCGCCCGGCCACCCGAAACCGCAGGTCCGCGCCGCCTCAATCTACTACGAAGCGTACCGCGAGCGCAACCCAGAGGCCATGTTCAACCTCGGGTTCATGCACGAATTTGGGGCCGGCGTGCCGCAGGACCTGGCGCTGGCGGGCAAGCTCTACGACATGGCCGCGCACACCCAGCCCGACGCCGGACTGCCAGTCCAGATCGCCAAGGCCTGGCTGCGCGCCCACGCCGCCTTCGAGTGGGTGCGCCCGCGGCTGCCCGCGGCGGCGGCGTGGCTGCCCGCGCAGCTGTTTGCGCTGCGGCCGCGCGGCGGCGGTGGCGGGGGCGGCGGCGGCGGCGGAGGCACGACCGGCGGCGGCGGCGGGCACGGGGGCTTGGCGGCGGGGCTGATGCCTCCGGTGTTGGCAATGCATTGGGAGAGCCTGGCAGGGCGGCTGACGGATTGGGCGGGCTTCCGGCTGCTTGGGGGCTCGGGCGGCGGCCGCGGCGGCCGCGGGGACGCGGACGGCGACAGCGCGGCGGGGGGCAGCGGCGACCAGGGTGAGACGGTGCTGCTGCTGGTGCTGCTGGTGGTGCTCTTCATAGTGCTGCGCATCCGGAAGCAGCGGCAGACGGCGCTCGAGGCGCGGCTGCGGCGCCAGCTGGCGGAGGGGGGCGGGGAGGCGGCGGACGTGCAGCGGGCGGAGCGGCTGCTGGGCGTGAGGGCGGCCCCGCTGCCGGCGACGGGGGCGGCGGCGGGGGTGACGGGAGCGGAGCAGGCGCGGCGGGCGGCGGCGGACGCAGCCGAGGAGCGGCAGCAGCAGCGAGGCAGCGGCGGCGACGGCAGCGGCGCGGGCGCGGGCACGGGCGCCAACGTGGGCGCAACAGGCGATCAGGGGGAGGACGCGGGCGGCGGAGGCGGCGCTGCAGGCGGCGCTGCAAGCGCAGAGGGGGATGCAAACGAAACCAGCCAGCTGCGGCAGCGGCGGCGACCCCGGGAGGAGGGGGCGGGCGGTGTCGAGGGCACCGGGTGATGTTGCGCCGCTGCACGCGTTGGAGAGCAAGCGCCCAGTTCAACAGGGCGCCAGCTCTGTGCATGGTCCTGGCCTGTAATTCGTTCGTGCCTGTAGGTCTGGGATTGGTGCATTTGCACGGTGTGCGTGCACAAGGCAAAGGGGCAGCTTAGGCAGGTTCGTTCACAGCAGCGGGCACGGCTGACCGTGTGTGTCACGTCGCCACAGTGGGTGGGTGCGATGTCAGAACAGCTCGCCGGAGGCGGGGCAGACACTGTCAATGCAGGCGGGGCTCGCTCTTGTGGGGTTGCTGGGCTTGCGGCGGGCAGGGCGGTTGTGTAGTCAACTATGGCCCCCGCCCCGTCCATACAATAGCCTCATTTAACCTGACAAAAGCTGCAGGCGGGTCTTGCCTTGTTGTTGATGTTGGTGACCAGCAGGAGCGAGGTTGTGCAACCAAGTGGGCAGTCAACGTCCAAGGGTCGGGCGCTCCCCGGGATGCCTCCGTCCACTCTGGTGCTGCGCTCAACTATGCCGCGACCCTGTGCGCCGCTGAAGCCGCAGGAAGGTCGGGTTACCTATGGTGTTCTCGTCAGCGCCCAGCTTGAGTGCGAGATGCTCCAGAGTGGTCAGCAGCAGGTGGTACACACACACAAACACCCCCACGCACACACGGAGGTAAGTTCCCTCTCTAGGTGACTATCATACCGGCTGAGCTTTGGGACCATGGCCATGTACTGTACAAAAGGTGCAGGTGAAGGATGGCAGCGGGTGATTGCTGCTGGTGGTTACTCTGGTTGGGTTTGCGGGCCACTCGCCCTCCTTTGAGCTTAAAACCTTCAGCAAGGTAGTCCAGTCAGCCTCTATGGGCATGAACGCATGCAAGATGTCCCATCTGGCTCAGAGCAGGTCGATACATGCGGAACTGCAGGGGACAGCGCAAGTTGCGAAGTCGGTGCCGCGCATTTTGGCCCTGTGCAATGACCGCTTATGGCCTGCGCATGCAAACATGACTTGAATCCTGCAGTCTCTCTGTAACAATCGTCACATTTATCAACGTCTCGCCAGGATGCTGGATATCAACTTGTTCAGAGAAGGTCAGCCCGCTGGATGGCTGCATGCACGTCGTGCGATCATCTTATGTCAATTATAGACTAACTGTGAAGCCATGCATCACGCCCGCAGAGAAGGGTGGGAACCCGGAGCTCGTCCGCGAGTCTCAACGCCGCAGGTATGCGGATGTAGGCCTCGTGGACAAGGTACTGGATCTGGATGCTCAGTGGAGGCAAGGTAAGCGAGAGAAGGCGCAACTCGCCAGAGCACCCGGGATGGTTGAACGCAGCTGATCTTTGGCCGCCGGTCCGTCGCAGCACGCTTCGCGATGGAGCAAGGCAAGAAAGACTTCAATGCTCTAAACAAGGAGATTGCCACGCTTAAGAAGGTGTGCAGCCGCGTCGGACCATTGCGCGCATACCCTCGCGCTCAGCTGCATTTCTGCTGTCTGCCTTGTGCAGTCAGCATCCGCCGCCATGCTGCTGCATGATCACCACACGTGGACTTGCCGTCATGCACTGCGACACATCGCTGAAACCAAGACCGCACGCGGATTCCTGATACAGCAGGCGTGTGTGAAATCGCCGCTCGACCCTGGATCGGCTGCGCTCCCCGTTTTTTGAGCGTCGGGCTCGCCTGCCATGCCCCCCACACGTGCGCGCTTTGACTGCCTGACTCCTGCAGGCCAAGCAGGATGCCGCCGAACAGATGGAGAAGTCGAAGGAGATCAAGGCGCGGATCGCCGAGCTGGAGGAGCGCGAGAAGGAGCTGAGCGCCGCGCGCGACGCGGCGCTGCTGCCGATCGGCAACCTGGTGCACGACAGCGTCCCCGTCAGCAACGACGAGGTGCGGCCCTCGGATGGGTAGGACGCAGGGGGGCTGGTTGGGGGGGGGGCGGCAGCGGGCGGGCGGACGGCATCGCAAAGCCGCTCTGGTCAATGCATTCGAGTGCGGCAAAGGAAATTGCGATGGAGCGAACGAGCTTTTGCGAGCGGCGGCCGTCAGACTGGGTGGGTGGGGCGAAGGATTGGCACAGCAGGCGGTTCCTGGGCTGCGGTGGAGTGCAGGATCGTATGTGGTTCTTCTAAGCAGGCGCCTGGAATCCCCGCGGCGGTGGGGGAGAAGGGCAGATGATACATAGTAATCGACAGCAGCAGGATGAGCACCAGCAGCAGCGGGTGAGCCCCTGCCGCAGCATTGGCGGTAGCCTGGTGGCCCGAGCTTGCAGCCGGGCATCCAGGGCTTGCCGCTGCCCTAATAAGCACGCCGGCAGCGGCGCTGGCGGCCGCGTTTCAGCGCTCCACCGGCCACCGGCCTCGCTTGTGTAAGCCCACCCCCCTGCCGTCGCGTTTCCTCGGGCGCCTGTCCTGCTTGGTGTTCGGAGCCGCCGCTGCCGGGCAGCTATCATGTGGTAACCCCTTGTAGCCTCAAACTGCCACCGGTGCGCCCCCCCCCCCCCTCATGTCG